CTACAAATACCTAGGTGTCTGGTTAGACTGTAAACTCTCCTTCCAGACTCACATTAAGCATCTCCAATCCAAAGTTAAATCTAGAATCGGCTTCCTATTTCGCAACAAAGCCTCCTTCACTCATGCTGCTAAACATGCCCTCGTAAAACTGACTATCCTACCGATCCTTGACTTCAGCGATGTCATTTACAAAATAGCTTCCAACTCTCTACTCAGCAAATTGGAAGTAGTCTATCACAGTGCCATCCGTTTTGTCACCAAAGCCCCATATACTACCCACCATTGTGACCTGTACGCTCTCGTTGGCTGGCCCTCACTACATATTCGTCGCCAAACCCACTGGCTCCAGGTCATCTATAAATCCCTTCTAGGCAAATCCCCGCCTTATCTTAGCTCATTGGTCACCATAGCAACACCCACCCGTAGTGTGCGTTTCAACAGGTATATATCACTGGTCATCCCCAAAGCCAACACCTCTCTGAAGCTGGAGACACTTATCTCCCTCACTATCTTTAAGCATCAGTTGTCAGAGCAGCTTACCGATCACTGCACCTGTACACAGCCCATCTGTAATTAGCCCACCCAACTACCTCATCCCCATATTGTTATTTACATTGTTATTTATTTTGCTCATTTGCACCCCAGTATCTCTATTTGCACATCATCTTCTGCACATCTATCACTCCAGTGTTAATACTAAATTATAATTGTAATTATTTTGCACTATGGCCTATTTATTGCCTTACCTCCATAACTTACTACATTTGCACACACTGTACATAGATTTTCTATTGTGTTATTGACTGTACGTTTTGTTTATTCCATATGTAACTATGTGTTGTTGTTGTTTTTTCCGCACTGCTTTGCTTTATCTTGGCCAGGTCACAGTTGTAAATGAGAACTTGTCACTGACTACTACCAATGTGCTATCTTGAGAGTGATTGTTGAGGGATCCCCACTTAATAATGAAATAGATTCACTTCTGCTATCGAAGTCATTCCTCCTCCTCCCCTCCCCCTCCTTCTTGCCCTCCTCCTCCTCCCCCTCATCCTCCCCTTCTTTTCCCCTCCTCCTCCTCTCCTCCCCCTCCTCCTCCTTCTCCTCGTCTCTTCATCCTGTTCCTTTCCTCCTTTCCTCCTCCTCCCCTCCTTCTGCTTTCCCCATTCCTCACCTGCTCCTCCTCCTCCTGTATCAAGAATGCTCCACCACCCCATGGACATCCAGCCAACTTGACACAACTGTGGGTAGCATTGGAGTCAACATGGGCCAGCATCCCTGTGGAACACTTTCAACACCTTGTAGAGTCTATGCCCCGATGAATTGAGGCTGTTCTGAGGGCGAAATGGGGTGCAATTCAATATTAGGAAGGTGGTCTGAATGTTTTGTACACACGGTGTGTGAGACCTTAGAAGGTTTAGCTTTGCAACATTTCCGTTTTGTCTAAATGTTACCCAGCCATATAAGTCAGATATTACAAGAACCTTCTAGAAATCTTGTATATGTATTTGCTGTCATATGTATGTAAATTCCAGGTAGAACATACAGGAATCTTGTAAAATCCTTCTATATCTTTTCCATATGGGGTAATTTTCAATTACTTCAACATAATCGACTGCAATGTAGTTTTCTGTATAATTAATCAAGTCAATTAAATGGAAACCACAGAGCAGGTCTGATGGAACTCAACTCCAGCCCAAGTCAGTATTCTCTTGGTATGAGCTCACTACTACAATACTCTCTGTTTGCCACTTGGTGGTGGAACAGCACAGCAGAATCAGACTGCCTGTTGAAACATTCTGCCTTTATTTCCATTTCAATAACTTGAATTTCAGGATATTTTACTTTACTGTATACATGAGTCACGAATAATGCAATAAATGAATCAGCTGTCAAGATAAACACACATGGCAGAAGATGTCAGATAAATCTGTTTATTGAACATGTGGTTAAACACATTTCAGCGTAGGCACTCAGACACAAACTCTGGATGAATTATGTAGTATCCAGCCTGGTAAGGTTTCACCACGTTGAAACAGCTGTATCCACCACTGTAACATGAAAACTATACATCTGACATAATATGTGTCACGATCGTCGAACAGAGAGGACCAAGGCGCAGCGTTGCGGGTGAACATATTTATATTTAATGACTAGATCACACGATCAAAACAAAGAACGAAACGTGAAGTCCTTTGATACACAAACCAAAAGGAACAAGAAACCACAAAACACAAAGTGCAAGACAAACAGTTAAATATGGCTCCCAATCAGAGACACCCAGCTGACACTCGTTGCCTCTGATTGGGAGTCACTCAGCCCAACATAGAAAATTAAACATAGACTTACACACCCTGGCTCAACATAACATAGTCCCCAGAGCCAGGGCGTGACAGTACCCCCCCCCAAAGGCGCGGACTCCGGCCGCGCCAAACAACCACAACAGGGGAGGGACCGGGTGGGCACTCCGCCTCGGCGGCGGATCCGGCTCCGGACATGACCCAGGCACGGGTTGTGCTGGACTGACGACGCACACCCCTGGCTTGATGCGTGGAGGAGGAACGGGCCGGACCGGGCTGACGAAGCGCACCCCTGACTTGGTGCGGGGAGCAGGAATGAGCCGGACCGGGCTGACGACGCGCACCACTGACCCGGTGCGGGGAGCTTGGACGGGCCGGACCGGGCTGGCGACGCGCACCACAGACTTGGTGCGGAGAGCAGGAACGGGCCGGACAGGGCTGACGACGCACACCACTGGCTTGGTGCGGGAAGCTTGGATGGGCCGGACTGGGCTGGCGACGCGCACCACAGACTTGGTGCGGAGAGCAGGAACGGGCCGTGCCGGACTGACGACGCACACCTCTGGCTTGGTGCGGGAAGCTTGGATGGGCTGGACTGGGCTGGCGACGCGCACCACAGACTTGGTGCGGAGAGCAGGAACGGGCCGGGCTGGGCTGTCGACGCACACCGTAGGCTTTGTGCGTGGAGCAGGGACAGGCCGGGCTGGGCTGTCGACGCACACCACTGACTTGGTGGGAATGGCAGGAACAGGCCGGGCTGGGCTGACGACGCGCACCACTGACTTGGTGGGAATGGCAGGAACAGGCCGGGCCGGGCTGACGACGCGCACCACTGACTTGGTGGGAATGGCAGGAACAGGCCGGGCTGGGCTGACGACGCGCACCACTGACTTGGTGGGAATGGCAGGAACAGGCCGGACCGTACTGGGGACACACACCACTGGCCCCACGCAGGGATCAGGAACGGGCCGGACCGGACTGGTAACACACCCCAGTACCTCTCGCCGTGCCTCCACACTTTCCCTCCCCTCTGTGCCCAGTGGCCCCCCTAACCTGGCGGCCTTCTCTGCCAACGCTTTGCACCGCTCTAACCCGTACACCTGCTGGCCCGACGTCGTGAGCCCCCCCCCTAAAAATTTCCTGGGGGTCTCTCCTCCCTCTTGCCAGACTCGCAATCATCTCCTCCCACGTCCATCCTCTCTCCTCGTCACGCTGCTTGATCCAGTCTAGGTTGCCACGGAGATCTGCCAGCGATGGCTCCTGAACACGTTGCTTGGTCTGGTTAAGGTGGTTTCTTCTGTCACGATCGTCGAACAGAGAGGACCAAGGCGCAGCGTTGCGGGTGAACATATTTATATTTAATGACTAGATCACACGATCAAAACAAAGAACGAAACGTGAAGTCCTTTGATACACAAACCAAAAGGAACAAGAAACCACAAAACACAAAGTGCAAGACAAACAGTTAAATATGGCTCCCAATCAGAGACACCCAGCTGACACTCGTTGCCTCTGATTGGGAGTCACTCAGCCCAACATAGAAAATTAAACATAGACTTACACACCCTGGCTCAACATAACATAGTCCCCAGAGCCAGGGCGTGACAATATGTGTGAACTGCATCTGCAATGGCATGCAACTATTCACCATCTACCCCACCTGTAAACTTGGCTGCAGTATAACATGCCTCATTTGACACTGTATAAATGAAACTTTGGATAGTTCAATATCTTGAGATACAGTCTGTAGTGGGCTATCCAATATAGTGTTACTGAGAACCTGTACTGAGATGTACTGATAAGTAAGAGCATGTACTGTACCATGAATTCAGTGTAGTGTTTGAGTGGGACCTCCAATACTGCTGGGCCTGTGCGAGGAAAGGAAAACCTTGTCAGATGTACAACTAAATGCATTCAACTGAAATGTGTCTTCCGCATTTAACCCAACCCCTCTGAATCAGAGGTGCCTAACTCCCGGAGGCTGCCATTTTGAAGTCCCTTCAGATGTTCAGGGCCTGAGTTTTCTCATGTCAGACAGTTGGAATTTCCCAACAAACTAATGCGTATAAATTGGATATGCCCTATCGAATTAATGCTGAATGTACTGTATGGTGTACAAATGGATAACGGTGATACACAAAGATTTTGTATCTGTCAAAAACTGATTGAGGCAATGTTTTTTCTATAGGTCTCATATGTTGACAAAGGCCATTCGTAATTTTTACACGTGTTCAAAGGTCAGACTCACACCTGAGTCCCTGTGATGAGTGTGGATGGAGGTCACCATGGTAACGCTGGATATCCGTCAGGGAGCCATCTGGCCTCTGTTGTAAGGACTTGGAGGAATCCATGTTACTGTAATCAACTTCAAGTCATATTAATCTTAAGTATTACAGTTTTCCCCAAGTGAATGAATCACAGAGACAAACTCAGCCAACCTTTCTTAGGAATCACAATCTTGATTTAAATCAACAGTGTATATGCAACACTTCACTGCTATATTTTCAGGTCTGACAGTAAGCTATGCAGTGCGTCATTATAATAATACATGCACTGGTTAACTGATTTGGACAGTCCTGTTAAAGAACCTAAACTAAAAGACATAAGAAATGAATACCTCATACTCTACCTCTGTATGTTTTTCAGGAGTGGTTGAAGTTGCAGGTCTCTGATTGAGGGGTCAGTCATTTGTGGTTTGTGTAGTCAGCCTGCAGAGGGCAGCACGTGTATTGTTATGGATGAGCTGAGGTGAGGCATGCGAGGTGGCTCTGTATCCACAGCACTTAGAGAGCGTGCACGTTTGCTATCTGGAGGAAGAAGAGCCACATAAGACACTGCACAACAAAATGCCCTATGTAGGCCTACATTAAATACAGACACACATTTTAAATACTTTATTTGAATCCACAAATCACATTACAGTTCAAGAAGGATTCAAATATTTCAAAGGTCATGTGGCCACTTATGGGTAAACAAAAGCACTTCCTTCAATGTCATACTGGTTTGGACCAGACAACATCAGATAGATGGCCTACACGTAGAGAGACAGAGGGGCGCTGTTTCGCTCGCTTGGATGCTTTCTTCTGTGAGATACATTCAGCCTCTTGCGAATTGAAGGAAAATTATGAAACACAGAGAGACAAAAGATAACTAATTGTACGTTTTTTAAAATTATTATTTGTTGTCAATTTTTTGGGGAAGCCTGGCTTCCCTTGGCATCCATGAATACACGCCACTGAGTTTTGCATACTAAGTCTTGCATAGTTCGTTTGGTTTCGGTATGTTGCATTGAAAGTGGCTAATATTGCATTGATTAGAACACAATTCCCACAGTAAAGGGAAACGTTGATAGTGTTAACTAACGGGGAAAACTCTAGAAGTTCAATGTCGTGCGCAGATATTTCTTCTGCGCCACAGTCCCGAGAGAGCTGCGTGTGCGCGCAGTTTAGAGGGAACATTGCTGCCCACACACCCACAGAGAGACAGACAGACACAGAACAAGGGGGAGATGATGAGAAGATGAAAAGTCTATGTTGAACTGGTAGAATGGAGCACAGACAGTTGTACCGGGGTTATGCTGAAAAGACAATTGCCGGACAGGAGAGAAGAGTGGGCATCCGTTGTTTACAGCAGCAGCTGACCCCTGGAACACTGACCTGGAGGCCCTGTGGCTCATCTGTAGTTTCCTGAGCAACAGAATGTCCTGTTTGGGCAGATGAGGAAAGAGAGGAAATAAGAAATCTGTCCCTCAACTCTGGGCACTGAAGATGGATGATTGGTTTGGTAGGCTCAGGTGAAGCATTGTGGATAATTATGGGAATACTAGTGTAAGAAGAAGATTTTGTAACACTTTACTTAAAGCCTGCAGGTATAATGCATTATAATGTAGTTATAATGCATTGTAAGATTTGTCAAAAGCATGTATGCCCTCCTTTTTTCTGTCATAATGATACTGGCTAAATAACAGCCATTTTGAGTCAGTTGAATGTCCTAGATTAGAGAGACATAACATATTATAATAAGACATTCTCAATGCTCATACATGCTTATAAAAAGTAAAAAAGCATTACACCTGCAGGATTTAAGACAATTTCTACAGATGCTTTTTGTGTATGTTCTGAGTGTCTCTACTGTCCTGGGCCAAAAACACATCCAGTACTACATCCGGTATCTATGTGTTACTGTAAACACACACTCATTAAGCATTATGTTGTGGGTCAGAAAGGTAAAGCTTGTGGTTCTGTTTACACGCCATCTCAGGAGCGGAGAGAGGGAATAATAGATGACATGCAGCTTTCTCCCTGGCCTGTAGAGATGTACATAAACAATGGCCCTCCAATTAGCAAGAGATGACTTAGGCCTCATTCTGGGTTATGTAGAGATGGAGTCAAAGTATGGGGGACAAAGGAGGCAAGAGGAAAAAGTAGCAAACACACAGGCAGATTTGTTGTCATCCGCAACACCTCATCCAATCAATTAGTCCCGTTTTTTGAAAAGACTGATACAATTCAGACTAGAGATTGGAATCAAGCATGTGCAGTGCCATTCTCAGGGTGTTAACCAGGCAGATGTGAGTAGAATGTAGATAGTTGCTATTCAATCTGGGTATCACAGAGTATTTTAAGGGAGCCTACGTAAGGACTTCATAACACAACTCTCATAATCTGTGCATAATGCATTCATAAGCAGTACATCGACATTTCATAAAATACAGTGAAATATACCGGTTTATCAACTTTTAACACTTATGTCAACAACTGCAAGTTTATATTTTTATATTAGCATCCACTCTAACTGTACTACACTAATCCTAACCAGTCTATGTGGTTTGTCCATGGCTGTTACCGGTATATTACTGTACATCCTGGTTATTACCGGTCTGGGGTGGGGGTTGTTTCTACGGTGGGCTGAGGACGGCTTGGTAGAGCTGATTTCCCTCGTCCAGGCGAGCTAAACTCCTCTGTGTACGTGCTGAGGTTGAGCTGGGGATCTCCCCAAGAACCCCAGTTTCTACACAGTACCTCTCCTACACAGATCTGTGTCTCACTCTCCACCTCTCCTATCCCACCTTAACCTATACAGTGGCTTGCGAAAGTATTCACCCCCCTTGGCATTTTTCCTATTTTGTTGCCTTACAACCTGGAATTAAAATGGATTTTTGGGGGGTTTGTATCATTTGATTTACACAACATGCCTACCACTTTGAAGATGCTAAATATTTTTTCTTGTGAAACTAACAAGAAATAAGACAAGAAAACTGACAAATAACTATTCACCCCCCCTCCCAAAGTCAATACTTTGTAGAGCCACCTTTTGCAGCAATTACAGCTGCAAGTCTCTTGGGGTATGTCTCTATCAGCTTGGCACATCTAGCCACTGGGATTTTTGCCCATTCTTCAAGGCAAAACTGCTCCAGCTCCTTCAAGTTGGATGGGTTCCGCTGGTGTACAGCCATCTTTAAGTCATACCACAGATTCTCAATTGAATTGAGGTCGGGGCTTTGACTAGGCCATTCCAAGACATTTAAATGTTTCCCCTTAAACCACTCGAGTGTTGCTTTAGCAGTATGCTTAGGGTCATTGTCCTGCTGGAAGGTGAACCTCCGTCCCAGTCTCAAATCTCTGGAAGTTTCCCTCAAGAATTTCCCTGTATTTAGCGCCATCCATCATTCCTTCAATTCTGACCAGTTTCCCAGTCCCTGCCGATGAAAACCATCCCCACAGCATGTTGCTGCCACCACCATGCTTCACTGTGGGGATGGTGTTCTCGGGGTAATGAGAGGTGTTGGGTTTGCGCCAGACATAGCGTTTTCCTTGATGGCCAAAAAGCTCAATTTTAATCTCATCTCACCAGAGTACCTTCTTCCATATGTCTGGGGAGTCTCCCACATGCCTTTTGGTGAACACCAAACATGTTTGCTTATTTTTTTCTTTAAGCAATGGCTTTTTTCTGGCCACTCTTCCGTAAAGCCCAGCTCTGTGGAGTGTACGGCTTAAAGTGGTCCTATGGACAGATACTCCAATCTCCGCTGTGGAGCTTTGCAGCTCCTTCAGGGTTATCTTTGGTCTCTTTGCTGCCTCTCTGATTAATGCCTTCTTTGCCTTGTCCGTGAGTTTTGGTTGGCGGCCCTCTCTTGGCAGGTTTGTTGTGGTGTCATATTCTTTCAATTTTTTAATAATGGATTTAATGGTGCTCTGTGGGATGTTCAAAGTTTCTGATATTTTTTTATAACCCAACCCTGATCTGTACTTCTCCACAACTTTGTCCCTGACCTGTTTGGAGAGCTCCTTGGTCTTCATGGTGCCACTTGCTTGATGGTGCCCCTTGCTTAGTGGTGTTGCAGACTCTGGGGCCTTTCAGAACAGGTGTATATATACTGAGATCATGTGACAGATCATGTGACACTTAGATTGCACACAGGTGGACTTTATTTAACTAATTATGTGACTTCTGAAGGTAATTGGTTGCACCAGATCTTATTTAGGAGCTTCATAGCAAAGGGGGTGAATACATATGCACGCACCACTTTTCCGTTATTTATTTGTTAGAATTTTTTGAAACAAGTAATTTTTTTCATTTCACTTCACCAATTTGGACTATTTTGTGTATGTCCATTACATGAAATCCAAATAAAAATCCATTTAAATTACAGGTTGTAATGCAACAAAATAGGAAAAACGCCAAGGGGGATGAATACTTTTGCAAGGCACTGTAAGAGCCTAAGTCCTGTCTAAGCTGGGGGAGGGTGGGGGGTACTACTAAGCTATATGAAATTGTTTTAAGAAGGTCATACCAAGGATCATTTTGCTATTTGATTTTGAATTTTAAAACCACTTGAAGTATCAAAAAATATATCCCAAAAAATATTTGATGAAAAAATGTATTTGGCCTTAATGCTATTAGCCCATACAAACGCATTGAATAACAGATTCACTACATGGAACAACAGATAGTCCCCCCCACAAAAATCTAAAATAAGTTTGTTCTGAAGCATCTATCCTATATCTGGGAGATATAAGAAAGATCAGGAAACTTTATTTTAATTGTATTTTTTACATGTATTTAACCCCTTATTATTGTCACTAACAGTCTCCATAAGTCTTGTGAGGTCTGTGGGTGTCCTAGAGAAAAACAACCGACATGTACACTACTGTTCAAAAGTTTGGTGTCACTTAGAAATGTCCTTGTTTTCGAAAGAAAAGCAATTTTTTTGTCCATTAAAATAACATCAAATTGATCAGAAATACGGGGTAGACATTGTTAATGTTGTAAATGGCTACTGTAGCTGGAAACGGCTGATTTTTTATGGAATATCTACATAGGCGTACAGAGGCCCATTATCAGCAACCATCAGTCCTGTGTTCCAATGGCGCGTTGTGTTTGCTAATCCAAGTTTATCATTTTAAAAGGCTAATTGATCATTAGAAAACCCTTGATTAAATAGTACCTGCAAAACACCAGCCATATCTCAGACTGGCCAATAAAAAGCAAAGATTAAGATGTGCAGTCTGAGATATGGCTTTTTCTTTGCAACTATGCCTAGAAGGTCAGCATCCCGGAGTCACCTCTTCACTGTTGATGTTGAGACTGGTGTGTTGCAGGTACTATTTTATGAAGCTGCCAGTTGAGGACCTGTGAGGCGTCTGTTTCTCAAACTAGACACACTAATGTATTTGTCCTCTTGCTCAGTTGTGCACCGGGGCCTCCCATTTACAACATTAACAATGTCTACACTGAATTTCTGATCAATTTGATGTTATTTTAATGGACAACAAAATTGCTTTTCTTTCGAAAACAAGGACATTTCAAAGTGACCCCAAACTTTTTAACGGTACTGTACGTGTTCTAGTGAGATTCACATTTTTCCATAGAGGGGTCATAGTTTGTAGACCAAACCGTTCGAACACTACAGACGATTTTGTGGGAAGACAGATTTCCGGGATGTCTCATGGTCTGACAAACACCGCTCTAGCTCTGTCACCTTTCACTGCAAATGCGGAAGTGTTACATAGATGGATGCGGTGGATTGAGACGCATCCAATGCAAGAAAAAAACAGATATCTCTAGCTTGAACTGACAGATTTTTATGGGGTTGTTTTTTTATGTTAGTTGGATTTCTGCGGGGGTGTGGACATCGACCTTAGGGGTATTAATCCTCCCTCTCGCTCTGTCACTCCTCCCTCCACCCCTCCCTCTCTTTCATTATTTCTTACAGTTACCCCTCTCTATCTCTCTCTCTCTCTAGCCCTCGTTTCATAGCCGTGGGAAGTAGTTAGGGGATAGGGGGCTGCAACCCTCAGCACCCCTACTTCCCACAGCTATGCCTCGTTTCATTTATCTTCAAGATATACTGTTGTAGTCTGCATTTATCATACTATCCTTTCAACTGTACTCAACGCTGAGATAATTTGCCACAGGACAATAGTGGGAAAGGTGCTATAGGCTAAGGTGAGGTGGTGGGGTTTGACATATTCTCTAGCAGATATATTTCGGTCATGTGTTGAATCCTTTAGCTCGACTCCAAGCACATGGTAGAGTTGGTGCCTCAAGGTCCCTAATATGTGGCAGTTGTGAGCGCCCTGGCCAGGAGGAACCAGAGCAGCTCTCCCTCGCTCTCTCTCTCTGCAATCTGAGCAGCCGTCCTTCAACAGGCTCTAATCTCTCACAGCTCACTGGCCTTGTCTGTCACCCAATGGCCCCTGTTTAGATCTCAACCCAGGTTTTCTTGTCATTGTGCTTCACATTCATCTATTATTCAGCCGGCGGCTGCAGGGTCTCTTTGTGTCCCCACTGTCCCACCACCCCCCCTGACAAGGTCTGGCCAGGCCAGCTTCCCCAGAGTGACAGGAGCGGGGCAGCCAATTAAAATCCAGTCAAAGCAGACACAATGATGCACAATGGTTCCGGAACCCTGCTGGAAGATGATCATGGTAAATCTGTTGGACCTTTATGATCTTATTTCAGCTCACTGTACCCTTTAAGGATCCACTCCAGTTCATATCTCAAGTGTAATGACCCCAAGATTCTGAAGCGATATACTGTAGTAGGCTACATATAGAGAGATGCACCCGCGTTCATTCATCCTCACTTGTATGGACCATTTGTCCTCGCGTGCACAGTCCCACTCACAAACTCCCGATCTCTTGCACTCTAGCACCCATCTCCCACTGGAGCCTACAAGTTTGGGGTCATAACCTCTGATATCTTGATCAACATCTCACCTAAGCCTATTACCCCTTATTGGTTGCCGGCTGCTCAATAACAACAACACAGGTCAAATAGTAAGCTCTTAGCCCAAGGTTTCACCTTCAATAAATACCAAAACACATCATTCCTTTCTAAAGAACGCTGGCACATTTCCCACCAACCGGCCTGAGGCAGGAATGACAGTCAATACCAGTGAACTCTCTCTCTCGCTCTATCACTCTCTTCCTAACTGTGTACATTTGCATCTGACGTTTGCATATGACAAAAAAAGATCAGACAGTTTCTAATATGTTATCTTCATACTTGCTTATGTGGTGATGTAGATAAAGCCAGAAGAAAGGACGTACATGCCAGGCAGTGTCTGAGAAAGGCCTGAAAAATGGCCAAAGACTCCAGCCACCCGAGACAGACTGTTCTCCATGCTCCCGTCCAGCAGGTAGTACCAGTGCATCAAGGCTCAGACCAACAGACTCATAAACAGCTTCTATCCCCTGGCCATAAGACTATTAAACGGCTAACCACTACTGCTCCCCCTTACACTTACGCTGCTGCTAAAATTATTATTGATTAGATTTATTACTACCACTATGCTGCTGTTCATTGATTATTGTTTGCCATTATCATAGGTATTTATCTATTTATCCTGCTACTGGTCACTATTATTCCTGTTTACATGTATATATTACCATTAGTATATTACTATAAGTAGTTATATATTCCTGCTACCAGTCACTTTTCATCCCTGGTTACATTTACTGTATATCCGCCTATCACGCCTACACTGACACTCTTGCACACACACCCACCCACCACTTATGCTGCTGCCATACTATTATAATTATAATTATTTATCCTGCTACCAGTCACTTTCTCCTAATCCCTGTCTACATGTACATAGATACCTCAAATACTCCAGTATCCCTGCACATTGTAAATTGACCCTGTACAGTATATAGCTTCCTCTCTTATTTCTTGTGTTTATTTTGTGTCTTTTATTTTATTTTTGTTATTCGTTTTTATATTGAATACTGCACTGTTGGGTAAGGCTTGCAAGTTAAGCATTTCAATGTACTTGTGCATGTGACAAATAAATCTTGAAAATTGAAATAGAGAGAGGCGGGTCGTTGAGTTGGCATTCTGCCCAGTAGTCATACCATTTGTGTTCCATGGAACTCCACCACAAACTCCCCCCCCCACACTTATAAACTGTATAAAGAGTGCACAAACTATTCAGACTCCAACAAACCGACTAACACGACACCTGACGTATCTAGCGAGAGGAGAGAAGAGGAAAGGAGAGGAGAAAAGAGAAGAGGAGAGGAGAGGGAGTTTTAATGAAGACACAGTTTATACTATCGGGGTTGTCTTGACTGGACAGACTCAGAAGACTCCAGATGTGTATAGTTAGACGGAAGGGACTTCTAACAATAATCTACCAGTACTGTGGTATCTGATAACAAGACACGACAGGCAGACACTATTTGATGTTCCACGGACAATGTACAACAGAATGCAGGAGCACGCTCTGACAGAATGACAAGTGAGTGACTGCAGCTCCTTCACACACACATCTGTTGAAACAGTTAGTTCCATACAAGGTGAGCACACTACATCCTGTGGTATAAAGGTCCAGACCTCTTGGCAGAGGTCATTGTACTCACATATAGGTTGTAGTATTTGTTTACAGCAGAATGCTGTTTGACTGTTGTACTGTATATATAGTGCGTTGTTGTTGTTGTTGTTAACATAGCCTTTGCCTCAGGCTGGCAGGTATAACTGATCATTTGCCTGTGGTTTGTAACATTTGCATCAGCGAACAGACCTACACAAACAGAACAACATAACTCGTGTTCACCTGAGGACACACTTCCTCATTCCAAAGTAACTGCCTAGTGCTATTTTGTCTATGGTGGCCCTGTTCATAAACAACCACACACCCTTAAACCCTAGGGCCTAGGCAGGTCTAAGCAACATGGTAATAGCGCCACCTTTCCCTAATAGTTAAATAACATTTACATTTACATTTACATTTACGTCATTTAGCAGACGCTCTTATCCAGAGCGACTTACATAATAGAAATGATTCTGCTGATGATGATAATGATGATGATGATGATGATTATGATTATGATTGAAAGGATGGTCAATGGTCATGATGCCAACGATGTCGAATATTGTGATAATGGTGATAGCGATGATGATAATGGGTGAGATAGTGGTGATGAAGATGGTAATAATAACGATGATGATGGTAATGATGATGAAGATGATTATGGTAATGATAGTGATAATTACGCCGATGATGATGCGTCTGTGTCTCTCTCCAGCTCCGTGGCTTGAAACGTCCCACTGGCTCGAATACACCCTTCCACCAGTGATCATTCACCATGGTAACCATACAACGACAGCATTGAATAGCAACCAGTCATGTAGTGGTGATGACGAGTTATTTAAGTACCGAGCCTATACTGTCACCTACCTACTGGTGTTCCCTATGGCGTTGCTTAGCAACAGTGGAGCGCTGTTCGTGTTCCTGCGACTGACGCCCAAATGGTCCGCGTCCTCCGTCCTCATGACCAACCTCGCCCTATCAGATGCATGCTTCTCCCTCACCCTGCCGCTGCGATTGGCCTACTACTTCAGGGGCGCTCGCTGGGACCTCCCTGATTGGCTGTGCCGACTGTGTGTGTTTTGCTTCTATCTCAACCTCTACACCAGGTACAGTATACACACGCACACACACACACAACCTAATTATCTGAAGGTGTTAGTGTTATCATGATGTGAGTTGACACAGGTTGCCCAGAAAGACACCTAACTAATAAACTTTAACTATTCTTTCCTACAGCGTTCTCTTCCTTACTGGACTGAGCGTGCTCCGTTGGCTGGCCGTGCTGAAGCCTCTCCGTCATCGAGCCTTTGCCACGCCCCTTCGTGCCTCATTGGCCTGCTTGGGCGTTTGGCTGTTTGTGGGCGGAGCTTCAGTCCCATTCCTGTTTTCGGGGACCTGGGTGAGGGCGGGACTAACACGCTGCTTCGAGCCCCGTAACCCTGCCTCCTGGAAGATGATCTTCATTCTCAACTACGTGGGCATGACATTCGGCTTCCTGATCCCATTCGTCACCATCCTCGGTTGCTACGGCAGCATCATCCACCGACTGACAGCTACGGCCTCGTCATTAGTAGGGTTGACTGGTAGCCTGAACAGGAACAAGAGGCAGAACCCGGGGAGACGTCGTCGCCGGCGCCGGTCTCTGCGTCTGGTCGCCATGGTGATCTGCACATTCCTGCTATGCTTCCTCCCATATCACGTGGCTCGCTCGCTGCACCTGCATGCGGTGGTGGACAGGTGGGGCTGTGTTGCTACGGTGACGCTGCAGCGGGTGTTGGTGGTGACGCTGTGTCTGGCGGCGGCCAACAGTGTAGTGAACCCTTTGTTGTACTACTGCTCCGGGGAGTCCTTCAGAACGGTCATACGCAATGCCTCATCACGACGACAGTCCTTCTCCTCCTCCTTCACTCAGGGCAGCCTGCTGCTATCTCGCAGGAAGAGGACTATTCCCACAATGCCTACAACACCAACAATGCCAGACACACCCTTCGCTCCACCCCAAACCCTTTCTGGGTCCCTACCAGACACACACAGCCCTGTGGAAGACAGTCTATAAAGGGTTCCAAACCTATTTGCCCTGTACCCCACCTCTACTTACAGACACTGAGACCTGAACCCCTAGCTACACTCTCCAGAATCAGAGACACTTTGCTGCACGTGCAAAATGGAGGCCTGAACCAGAACCACACACCCCCACACCGAAGACTGAACCCTCACATCCTCCAGGGCCATAAGACACTAACCCTTAGGTTTTTGAGGCACTGTGTGGGTGTGCTCTCTGTTGTTTCCATTCCCTCCACAGCTCCCAAGAGGAGGAGGTGTGTACCACGTCATGGATTTACAATGTGTGTATATAAGCTAGTCTGTGTTTTCTTTGCTGCATTTCTTTTTGTTTGTATAGTTCACTCTTCCTTTCCTGCCATCTCCTCCCCACCCCCCTCCTTCTCCTCACCTAGCCTTGTCGAGAACCAGGCTTCCTGGGGGAGTCCATGGCACAAAATCAGCAAAAAAAGGGTTGGAACCTGGTGTAAATCAATGACGCCTCGCAACATTTACATTTTCGTCATTTAGCAGACGCTCTTATCCAGAGCGACTTACAAATTGGTGCATCCACCTTATGGTAGCCAGTGGGACAACCACTTTACAATATATATATATATTATTTTTTTGGGGGGGTGGGGTAAGGGGGGGTAGAAGGATTACTTTATCCTATCCCAGGTATTCCTTAAAGAGGTGGGGTTTCAAGTGTCTCCGGAAGGTGGTGAGTGACTCCGCTGTCCTGGCGTCGTGAGGGAGCTTGTTCCACCATTGGGGTGCCAGAGCAGCGAACAGTTTTGACTGGGCTGAGCGGGAACTGTGCTTCCGCAGAGGTAGGGGGGCCAGCAGGCCAGAGGTGGATGAACGAAATGCCCTCGTTTGGGTGTAGGGACTGATCAGAGCCTGAAGGTACGGAGGTGCCGTTCCCCTCACAGCTCCGTAGGCTAGCACCATGGTCTTGTAGCAGATGCGAGCTTCAACTGGAAGCCAGTGGAGTGTACAGAGGAGCGGGGTGATGTGAGAGAACTTGGGAAGGTTGAACACCAGACGGGCTGCGGCGTTCTGGATGAATTGTAGGGGTTTAATGGCACAGGCAGGGAGCCCAGCCAACAGTGAGTTGCAGTAATCCAGACGGGAGATGACAAGTGCCTGGATTAGGACCTGTGCCGCTTCATGTGTAAGGCAGGGTCGTACTCTGTGAATGTTGTAGAGCATGAACCTACAGGATCGGGTCACCGCCTTGATGTTAGCGGAGAACGACAGGGTGTTGTCCAGGGTCACGCCAAGGCTCTTCGCACTCTGGGAGGAGGACACAACGGAGTTGTCAACCGTGATGGCGAGATCATGGAACGGGCAGTCCTTCCCCGGGAGGAAGAGCAGCTCCGTCTGCAGGTTCAGCTTGAGGTGGTGATCCGTCATCCATACTGATATGTCTGCCAGACATGCAGAGATGCGATTCGCCACCTGGTTATCAGAAGGGGGAAAGGAGAAGATGAGTTGTGTGTCGTCTGCGTAGCAATGATAGGAGAGGCCATGTGAGGATATGACAGAGCCAAGTGACTTGGTGTATAGCGAGAATAGGAGAGGGCCTAGAACTGAGCCCTGGGGGACACCAGTGGTGAGAGCACGTGGTGCGGAGACAGCTTCTCGCCACGCCACTTGGTAGGAGCGACCGGTCAGGTAGGACGCAATCCAAGAGTGAGCCGCGCCGGAGATGCCCAGCTCGGAGAGGGTGGAGAGGAGGATCTGATGGTTCACAGTATCAAAGGCAGCAGACAGGTCTAGAAGGACAAGAGCAGAGGAGAGAGAGTTAGCTTTAGCAGTGCGGAGAGCCTCCGTGACACAGAGAAGAGCAGTCTCAGTTGAATGACCAGTCTTGAAACCTGACTGGTTTGGATCAAGAAGGTCATTCTGAGAGAGATAGCAAGAGAGTTGGCTAAAGACGGCACACTCAATAGTTTTGGAGAGAAAAGAAAGAAGGGATACTGGTCTGTAGTTGTTGACATCAGAGGGATCGAGTGTTGGTTTTTTGAGAAGGGGTGCAACTCTCGCTCTCTTGAAGACGGAAGGGACATAGCCAGCGGTCAAGGATGAGTTGATGAGCGAGGTGAGGTAAGGGAGAAGGTCACCGGAGATGGTCTGGAGAAGAGAGGAGGGGATAGGGTCAAGCGGGCAGGTTGTTGGGCGGCCGGCCGTCACAAGTCGCAAGATTTTATCTGGAGAGAGAGGGGAGAAAGAAGTCAAAGCATAGGGTAGGGCAGTGTGAGCAGGACCAGCAGTGTCATTTGACTTAACAAACGAGGATCGGATGTCGTCAACCTTCTTTTCAAAATGGTTGACGAAGTCATCCACAGAGAGGGAGGATGGGGGGGAGGGGGAGGAGGATTCAGCAGGGTGGAGAAGGTGGCAAAGAGCTTCCTAGGGTTAGAGGCAGATGCTTGGAATTTAGAGTGGTAGAAAGTGGCCTTAGCAGCAGGAACAGATGAAGAAAATGTAGAGAGGAGGGAGTGAAAAGATGCCAGGTCCGCAGGGAGTCTAGTTTTCCTCCATTTCCGCTCGGCTGCCCGGAGTCCTGTTCTGTGAGCTCGCAATGAGTCATCAAGCCACGGAGCTGGAGGGGAGGACCGAGCCGGCCGGGAGGATAGGGAACATAGAGAGTCAAAGGATGCAGAAAGGGAGGAGAAGAGGGTTGAGGAGGCAGAATCAGGAGATTGGAGGGAGAAGGATTGAGCAGAGGGAAGAGATGATAGGATGGAAGAGGAGAGAGTAGCGGGAGAGAGAGAGAGAGCGAAGGTTGCGACGGCGCATCACCATCTGAGTAGGGGCAGAGTGAGTAGTGTTGGAGGAGCGCGAGAGAGAAAAGGATACAAAGTAGTGGTCGGAGACATGGAGGGGAGTTGCAGTGAGATTAGTAGAAGAACAGCATCTAGTAAAGATGAGGTCAAGCGTATTGCCTGCCTTGTGAGTAGGGGGGGATGGTGAGAGGGTGAGGTCAAAAGAGGAGAGGAGTGGAAAGTAGGAGGCAGAGAGAAATGAGTCAAAGGTAGATGTAGGGAGGTTGAAGTCACCCAGAACTGTGAGGGGAGAGCCATCCTCAGGAAAGGAACTTATCAAGGCGTCAAGCTCATTGATGAACTCTCCAAGGGAACCTGGAGGGCGATAGATGACAAGGATATTAAGATTAAATGGGCTAGTGACTGTGACAGCATGGAATTCAAATGAGGAGATAGACAGATGGGTCAGGGGAAAAATAGAGAATGTCCATTTGGGAGAGATGAGGATTCCTGTGCCACTACCCCGCTGACCAGATGCTCTCGGGGTATGCGAGAACCCATGGTCAGACGAGGAGAGAGCAGTAGGAGTAGCAGTGTTTTCAGTGGTAATCCATGTTTCCGTCAGCGCCAAGAAGTCGAGGGACTGGAGGGTAGCATAGGCTGAGATGAACTCTGCCTTGTTGGCAGCAGAACCGCAGTTCCAGAGGCTGCCTGAGACCTGGAACTCCACGTGGGTGGTGCGTGCAGGGACCACCAGGTTAGAGAGGCAGCAGCCACGCGGTGTGAGGCGTTTGTATAGCCTGTGCGGAGAGGAGAGAACAGGGATGGGCAGAGGCATAGTTGACAGGCTGCAGAAAATGGCTACAATAATGCAAAGGAGATCGGAATGAAATGAACTAAACATCTGGGAAAGGAGAGAGCGGGGCCTCCCTCACCACAACACCCAAATATAACTCTCCCAACTTCCACCTCAGAAACTATAATTGTTGTAAACTACAGCGGTTCAATGTTTCTAGGAATAGACTAACTTAGTTTATTCAGCTAGCTAACTAGGTACAGTATTCTTCTGTGAAAACCATCCAGGGCACCTAGTCATAAGACGCCACAGCCAGCTAGCATGCTGGACTCCAACAACACGGTTTAGCACCAATACTCGGCCAAAACAAACCACCAGTGTGTCAACACGCCAAGCAGATCATTCGTGTCCGTGTCTAACGTTGTGGGTTAGTCCCGACAGCTTGAGCGAGTCCGTCGTCAACTTATTCAGCCAGTTAGTTAGCTAGAATAGTTAGCATACTAGCTAGCCATTGCTTTCAGACAAAGAAGAAACCCCTCCTCCCACGGCACGAACACACAGAGAGAGCCAAGCTAACGTTAACTAGTCACCCATGTCCCGAATTCCCTTGAACGACTCTGGCTACCAGTATGTAAAAACAAAACACAAATGTAGGTTATAACTTACCCCTAGCAGCTACTGTTAGCTAGCCAAGTGCAAAGCTAGCCACTGAATTGACTCAGCCAGTTCGCGTCTGTTCGCTAGGTCGTTCAAGCTATTGTTTACTAGTAGCTATCCATGTAGCAACAAGCTAGCTAAATCTCAAGCACAGTAGCCACTTACTACCTAACGTTAACGCTTCAGACAATGAGGTTAGAAAAACAGCTGAATGGTAGGCATTATTGTATGTAATTATTGTAGGCAGCTAGCTGGCGTAATTACAGGTACTCTCAGGCGTGAAACAACTATCCACAGTTGCTAATAGTTACCAGTAGCTACCCGCTAGCTAGTCCAGATAGTGGGTTAGCTAGCTTCGTGCTTCACCGGGCTCAGCCGAATACAATACTAACCTACAATAATTACATACAACAACCCACGATAACTACCTACAATACCTAACTACAATCTAAATACATTGTTTAAGCTTTACTCGACAAAGCCCAAACTATGTATATAAGTCCCGACAGCTTGAGCGAGTCCGTCGTCAACTTATTCAGCCAGTTAGTTAGCTAGAATAGTTAGCATACTAGCTAGCCATTGCTTTCAGACAAAGAAGAAACCCCTCCTTCACGGCACGAACACACAGAGAGAGCAAAACTAACGTTAACTAGTCACCCATGTCCCGAATTCCTTGAACGACTCTAGCTACCAATATGTAAAAATAAAACACAAATGTAGGTTATGACTTACCCCTAGCAGCTACTGTTAGCTAGCCAAGTGCAAAGCTAGCCACTGAATTGACTCAGCCAG